AGAAGCACGGCTAGTTTTTATAGCCTAGGGCCGGTTAGAGCCATCGAACCGGTGATTAAGGGCTCGGTATATCTGATACCGGGGCATTTGGACCGAGTATTCAGGACCCGAAGAGGAAATCCAGATTGGCCCGAAGAATTGGAGCCCAATCGTAGTCCAAATAGTGGCCCAAGAGAGCCGCCCGGCCAAAAAGGCTGGCGCCCGGAGGCGAGCCCGGCCGGGCGCGAGAAACGTTTCTGATGGAAAAAGGCGCGCCCGATCAGGCGGTGCCTTGCCCGATCGGGCGCGTGTTATTATTAGATGTTAATTTTGACATTTAAGTTTGTTTTAGTTTAGGATTCTTATGGAGTATAAATACTTTCCCGTAAAACGAGTTTAGCACTTTTCTTTACCTTCTTTTACTCTTTCTTAATTATTTTCTTAGATTTTCTCTCTCTACTTAGCTTTTAGATTAGTTTCTCTCTCTTATACTTTGTTCTCAACTTGATTCTTAATTCCAGATTTATTTTGGTAACGATTTATCTTCTCTTAATCTTAGTTGTTTACTTTATTCTTTTGATCATGTCTTGTTTGATTACTTTGATGAGTTTAGTTTTTATTATGTGTGAGTAGTTCTATTTCTAGGGTTTATGGGGATCCATAAATAATATGAAGGGGTAATTTATTGTTGTTAATTAACAATGTTGGATTAATTTCCTATTGATTGATTTAATGCTCAGTGACTAAATTTGCGCAGATCTTTTATGCATGAGTTTAACAATATTGATTCGAGATTCGACAGATGAGAATTAATGTTTAGGTCTAGTTTCAATAGGCAGGTTAATTTATAAATGGTTAAGTCGAGATTCGAAAGATGAGATTTAATACCGGTAAATTAATTGTGTGATTGTAATACGTAGCGAAAGCCCACTACAACAAAATAAAGCAAAGGTAATAGTGCAAAACCATTGCCTAATATAAAAAAAAGTGTTGCCTTGTAGCTAAGGCAACACATATGAGGCGTAGTATATGCCCCCGTTGTCTATTCATAAGGCAACACATTTTTATTCAAAGGCAACAATTTTGAAAGCCAAGGTAGAATGATACATAAGGCAACACTTTTACAAAGACAACAAATGAAAAATGTTGTCATCTAAGGAGACAATTCAAAAATGTTTCTAACTATTGCCACTCCCAAGCATTTAGTAGTTGGTAGGGCTCGAACTTGTGACCTCAATGTCACAAGGTGAGTTCCCCACCAACTCCACCAAACTACACACACACACACACACACACACACACATATATATATATAACACACTTGCCATAAAAGCAACATCTTAAATTATGTTGTCTTTTTAATATAAATGTTGTCATAGATGGCAACATAGATATTAATGTTACATTTTCAAACAATAGTTTTGTTATTATTATCTTTTCATGCAACAATTATTATGTTTGTTGTCTTAGATAAGAAAAAGGTAACACTTTTAGCGATTGTTGCCTTATATAGTCTAGAGCAACACTTTTTTTTCTGTTACTTTAGTTCAAGGTAACAAATAAATACTGTTGTGTTAGATTATTAAGAGTAACATTTTTGTAAGTATTGCAATCTTAAGTGTTGTCGATTCTCATTTTTTTTGTAGTGGCCCTTTATGATCTGATTAATGTATGCATTGATGATTGATTAATATGTTTTACCCTGGAATATTATTTATTGGTGAACCTATGCCCTAGATCCTTTTATTCATCGTTTTCTCCTTATTCTTAATCTTCGTAGTTTAGTTCCTTTTGATTATAACATATTGGTTACTTCATAATCTAGATTATATTAGTTAATTAGGAATAGAAAGACTTGTTTGTCTGTGGATTCGACCCTACTTCCCTATCTACATTAGTAAGAGGATTTAGGAATTACTTTTAATTAGGGGATACGACTTTAACCTGTCACAGATCTCCACCTAAATTTCCGCACGTTTTTACTCCTATTCAAGTTACTAACTTGACCGTCGGAGGCGGAGCTCCAACCACCTGGGGTCTCCATTGTTTTGCAGGTGCAGTTCACGCGTGGACAAGACTTTGTGACGTAACTCTCCCAAGGGACAAAAACACCTAAAACAGGTTGTATCCAGTATGCTTATGTTGATGCTATTGCTAATGATAATGCTATTGCTGACGATTCCTGTCTCTTTTTTGCTAATGCTATCCCAGTTTAATTCTTGTTAGTAATTTACTCGCTTTTATTTCCAAATCCATAGTTTGTGCATAAATTTCATAACCATTGGTTACCACTTGAAGTTGTAAAGCAATACATGTTTGGCCAATTTACTAGCTTTTATTTCCAAATCCATAGTTTGTGATAAATTTCATATCATTGTTTACCACTTGAAGTTGTAAAGCAATACATGTTTGGCCTTTTGAGGATGATGTTGCTTTCTTATGAACATCAGTATGTTAGTTTCCTTGCAAAACAATTTTTAATTCATTTTTCATTACTTTAATTTGTTATCACCTACCAAACAAGGTACTTATTTTCCAGTTGTCCTTATAGTTAGCTTTGTGATAAAATTTTATGGTATTACATTACTTGATGTTTGGCAAAACATAATGCTTTTTAGTGTGTCTCATGCCACCTCTATTCTTGGAGAATTGTTTTTGAGGATACAGAATTATGAATATAAAAAATGGATATTAGGCATGGGATAAGTTAGTCTTAGGTTTGTCAACTGGGTCATCATAATCTGTATTTATTCATGTTTTTTTAAAAAAAAAATTAAAAATTTCAATTTATTTCTTATACAAAGTAATAATCTTTTCTTTCCTTGAGATTTAAATTTTCAATAATTTTAACTTTCAAGTTGCCTTTTCGCTCAAACATGTGGGACTTTCATTCCAATCTCGAATCATAACTTTCATATTATTAATATTTATTTGGGTTTGGCTCATTGTTGGAAGAAGTACCATCATGTTGTAAGACCGACACCACTTTTTTACCATAACAACACGAGAGATTGCCACCCACAAGGCCACAACTCCATGCACACAGAATTTGAGCCAGAGATCACCTAGAACAACCACTATTTTTTTTAATCAGGCACAAATGCACAATGGTATTTTGTATCTACACTTTGGAAGAGAATATGTATGATTAGCTTGGAATTAGAGGTTTGGTGTTCTCATACTGCAAAATATTTCGAGGGTGCACCCTTAAACATCTTTTTTTTTACCTGCCTTGTTGAGTACCAAAGCATGCCTAATGTAGAGGAAACCCTTGTCAGTGGTCACCAATTTACCATTAATCGGGAGAAAGATTTTAAATTAGAACAGTTCTTGTAATTAGTGAATGGCAATCTATTTTCGCATCTTCTCTTAAATATATGGAGACTTTGATGATGAAATCTAGTGATAGAAAGCAAACCTACTTGATGTTGCCATTGCTACTTTATTCAAGTACTGGTCCAGTCGTTGAGGTAGTTTTCGGAGGTACATAGAAGCATTGCATAGATGAGGGTTGAGCTTTATGTGGGTTGGGTTGTGGCCTTGTAGAGGTGGTGCAGCTGGGGGGCTGATAGTGGTTGTTGTAGTTGGCATGTGAATGGAGAGGGTTAAGAGAGGATGTAAAGATGAATTTATTAACAGGGTTGTTAATTTTTAATAATATGGCATGATCACTATCATACTTAAGACAAATTTTGGCATGCCCATCAAGAGGTTCTTATGGTTTTGTTACTTCTACCTATTACACATGCATTCTGGATTGAGGATATCCTCATGGGTGTATATATTTTTATGAATGGCTAGTTTGCTACTTGTTTTCTTGTTTGGCAAACCTTATATGAAATTTTTTATGTACACCCGGGTACAAGCTATACCCAACCAATACAAGGTTAGTTTTTGCTCATCATTAGATGATTAAATGAGCAATAATCCATCAAAACTATTTGGTGCACCTTGTACCCGGGTATATGTAACAATCTATCCACCCATAATATCTTATATTTGTATTCATTGAGGTGTTTGGTTTAACATCTCTATTGTTTCTGATGCCTATCACAGGTGCCAAGGAAAAGGGATAGTAACCATGATGGTACTTTTTGGTGGGAGGCAGTGTGATCTGATTAATATTATCTTAGATGGTTTCAAGGCAAAGACATTATTAAGAGTAGGCATCCTATTTACAAGAGAGATTGTAAGGGAGATTGTTTTTTTTGGAAAACTAATCAAGGACCTCTTCAGTATTTATCTTAGATGGTTTCAAGGGAAAGACAGATTAATTTTGATTATGCTCTTTTGCTGATTATGCTAGATGCCTTTTTTGAAATGCTGATGTGATTATTAACTTATCTTGTGCAGTACAATGACAAAATTATTTGTAAATAAATAGTGCCTATCATGTAATTATTTTGACCATGTTGCAAGGGAGATTTTGTTTGGAAAACCAATTAAGGGCCTCTTCAGGATGTTTTTGGGAGAATTGATTTACAAAGTAGTTATAATTTATTTTAGGATAACCCCATATTACTAAATTGCTCAAGCTCTCTTACATGATGTCATTGTGCCTTATTTTCCTTCTATTCTCATGTTAAATTGATTTTATTTTTCTTTTAACATACATTAGAATGGGTTAGGTAAAAGATTTGCTAGTAGTTTCAAAATAATTCATAATCAAGTCATCAACATGTATCCATTATAATGTGTTACTATTTATTTAGGGTTTATCCACATTTAGGGAATTTTTCAATTGAGAAAAAATAAAATATTTGTGAAAGTAGGATTAGTTGGAGAGAAATTATAATATTGTGTTCTTTCAAAAAACAAAGATGTTATAATTATTATGAAACATATATTGAAAAAAAAAATGTGTTTAGTTTATTACATGTTTCGCTCATATTGCTAGAATATACCACCTTGTGATTTATCGAATCGTATTTGAAAAAATTATATACAATGACCATACAAACCAAAATATTTTCTCATACTTTTTGGCAAAGGAAAGACAATGTTGTGTGATTGTGTAACAATCATAACCTCAGTTTAACACTCCGCTTATCTGAAGATGCTCTTTCAACCAATTTTCCTGTATGGCTAAGTTTAGCAGGGGTGCTCTTGGAGGTTGTGTCGTGCCTACTTAGAGAGCGCTGCAAGATACGAATTGGGATCCCGCCCATATCAAAGTCTTCTTTCAAAGATTTTGTCAAAAACTGTATTTCCGTATCTGACAGCACTGTTTTCCCCTTCACAAAGGCAACAAATGTTGGTGGTCGAGCCTTCACTTGTGTGAAGTACTTGACCTTTGGCTGTGCAGCCTGATCTTTTCAAGAGTGCCTGCTCATAACCTAGAAACAGATAATCAACACCTTTAGGATCTGAAAATCAGTACGCTGTGGATCATCTGAACTCAATTCAAATTAGGATTTCATTAGCAGCCACTGATTCTTAATCAAGACAATACTTGGGCTTTATATTTCCATCCGACCTCAAACAGAGAAATGGCACCTTTGCCATATTTTGGCCACTGGTTTGTCTTCCACAGACTATGAAGCTACCATGGCTAACCATTAGTAATAGAGTAAATCATGGACTTGTGAATAATTATCAAGAATTCAAGATCAGGACTCCGGCAGATCCTGCTTTGTCTTAGTCAATTAAGTCACAATTTAGTCACCAACACATTTTGACCCTTGTGTCAAGTTGGCAAAAGAATTGTTTAATATCTATATGACCTTTAAAGGAAAATGGAACCATACCTTTCGCAACCAACGATTAAGTCGGGCTGTTGACAGCCGTAGACACCATTTCTCGTGTCAGTAACCTGATGCATGACTGCTATACGACCCTTTCCCCCCCCCCCACCCCCCCCCCCCCCCCCCCCCCGAGCAGAAACAAATATAACTGGTATTCCAGTTACCTGATGACAGGAGAGGGTTAGTTTTACAAAAATAAGACATTTCATGATCTCAGTTAAGATTTTGGTGCATAACAACTTAACAAGTCAAGGAGTTAAGTTTATTTTAAATACACGTTATAAGATATTTAGATATGACAATGTTACATCAATTACCAAAGATGTTGGTGAGTAATTTTTCAAGAAAGAGAGGAGGAGAAGTTAAATTAGGGTTTCTTTACAAACAGAGCGATCTGTGAGACTGACTAACAAACTCCTTCCTTTCACTCTCTCTTCCCCAAGTTCAAAAACAAGGAATAAAGCCCAATGTTCTCAGATGCAATTAGTTTTCTTATTTCCTCACTCACTTATAACTGAAATTTGGACAATCAACTCCTCACCCTTAAATTATCTCATACACTGCATACCAGACCCCTTGATAATTAAAGCACAAATAAGTTTTGTGGGAATTACTATATCATTAGCGCATGGAAGATAATAGAACTGACTTATCAAACAAGCTCATATGTTTAAATCTTGAAACACTATCACAACTCACAAGAGATAAAAAGGATTAGCAATAGAGAGCCATAGAATGAAAGTTTAAAAAAGCAAACCTGCGGTATAAGTTTCTGAATCTCTTCAGGAACAGCTTTAATGAAGTCTTCATATAACTTAGACTTCTGTTTTCCTTTCAAAAGATCCATTTTGTTTACGGTTACTATCAAACCACGTCCTTCTTCCACTGCCTGTCTAGCTAAAACTATTTCGGCATGCTTCATGCTCTTCTTGGTTTTTGCAACCTAATAGCCAAAATGAGGAGACAATAAACAATCAAAAATTTATTATGGTACACTAACAAGAAGAGGAAGCAAATCAAATCTATATATAGAAAGGCACAATTTGAGAGAGAGAGAGGGAGAGAGAGGGCAGGCTTTATGCCAGACGGGGGAATTTCTATTGCCTCTATCACAGCAGTTTCTCACACAGCTAAAAGGAATTGAACTAAATCTAGAAGACATCATGCATTCAGCATGCTAGGAACTTGACACAGGAGCTGCATACTTCAAGAGCTTTTAGCACTATTACTACATATATTTCTTACTTATATTATTATTTCCTCTGCTACAGTTTCTCTCACTTTCATTTTTCAAATTGTTTGAGCTTCTGATTTTACTATGTGCTATTCTCCAATCATCGTGATTGTTTTGATTCTTTCTCATATAGTTGCAGGCAATAATGATGCATGGCTCAACAACCTCTTCAAACCCCCACTCAAAAAGGTTGGAGTTGTCTCACTTTTTGATGAAGTGAATGGGTTAGCAAGAAGTTGCTGTTGAGAACAAGTAATGAAGATTTCCAAATTCAAACCATCTCTTGGTTAGAAAAAATTACTAGCAAGATTTTGTCAATGAAAATATTCTTCTCCATATTAATGCTACGTAGCTTAAATAGTGGAGTTCATCAAGAGTTCTTTACGATGAGCTATATCATTAAAACTGAAGGAAATGGTCTGTCCCATAGCAATTTGGCCAATATCGTCCATGGAGCAGGGACCTGGCCAGTTAAGCAAGCTCAAGCCCATAAATTATGGTAGTAATTAGACCACCTGTTTACTATTGAGCAAAGTTGACTCCCATAGCATTACTGTGGCAATTCAAAGAAGAGGATCCATTGTGGATGTTTTGGGCATACAAGAAGAAGAGGATCCATACAAGAAAAGATGAGATTAAAGATGAAACTACGAAAGTAACAAGGGGTGGAGTGGGATAAAATTAAAGGATTAAAAAATGAGATGACAAATTGTTGGGGCATGTTTGGTCACGCCAAACAGGAAAATAATGTTTGGTGATTGAAGATCAACAAGTCATTCATAGCTTTGCTGGTTTGCATAAATGGTGAGGTGAGATAATTCTTTCCCAGACAAGGTTCTTATTTTAAAGCTTTGCCTTTTAACTGCCAGCTCTATAACACAACTATTTATGAAAAAATGACCCACTGTAGTAAGTTAAGTACCTCTCACAGGATAGCAAAAAAAAAAAGGTGTAGCTTTTAGAAGAATTGGAATGAGAATTTAAGGCAAATAATGGCTTTGCTGAAGATTACAGATGATAACATAGCGTTACTAGTTTAAACTGATTTATATAAAATCTTCTTATCTAAATAAACTGTCTAATGTCAACCTTAAACATAGCACTGCAAGAGAGAATCAGTGGCTCACCTCCTCTCCATCAAGAACCAATGCAATTACATGAGCCCTCAAAAGATTTTTCCTGGTTTGCATAATGCTCAATGAAGCAGGGCCTTTCTCTTTTGTCCTCTCCAACCACCCAGCAGTGTCAACCTGAAGAAAGGAAACAAAATATAATTCACATTTTTGTAAGTCATAAATCAGAAGTCTGCTAATTTGACATTTCATGTGATACATTTTGGAACATCCAGGAGAGTGTGTGATAGTACCAAACATTTAAGGAGGTGAAAGATTATATTTCCTCCGTTCTTTATTACTTGACCCGCTTTGACTTTTACACTATTCACCACCCCTCCTTTGACCGTCGTTTGTGAATAATATGTAAGGAAAAATATATTCATGTATGATCTTTTTGGATTCGTCTCAAAAAGTACTATCTTACAATTTTTACTTATGAAGAATTTAAGTTATTGATCATTAAAGTTTTGCATTGGCAAGCGTAATAAAAGAAACAGGCCAAGTAAAAAATAGCAGAGGAAGTATGTATTAAAATTAGTTTGAGAAATATAAATATAATTTAGTAGAGCCATATTAATTAGGAAATTATCATTATCTGAATTCCTGAAGTATGTTCTTTCCGTGCATATTTATAATATGAAATCTTCTAAAAGCAGTGTCTAAACGCATCAACAAAAAAGTTTTAGCAGTTAAATGAGGTAAAATAACTGAATAACTGTCCTAAAGATTTGAGAAATATGATGGAGGCTTTAGGAACAGTAAGACGATACAAAAAAAATAAGAACAGTAAGTTCTTGATCTCTATGTGAAAGTAATATAACAGTACTACTATATAAAGTGTATCCAGAGTAATACTGAGAGTTCATAGATCAGGCTATTAGGATAACTAATTGTATATGTATAATTGGAGTAGATTAATATAAAACTGGATCACAGAAACAACCTCTCAACTAATAATCAAGGACCATCCACACAAGACATAATACAACTACTTATTAAAACGTTCTGAATGCATAATCAGACTTAGGGAGGAAACAGGGTCAAAATTTAAACACTGATAAAGACCAGTCACAGAGTGACCAATACAATTTCCTCTAACACATGTCAACAGAAGAATTTTAGACCACATTAAAAAGCTTATGATGAAATGGGTTATTGAATACAGATCAAGACTTTATGAAGTTGCGCTATATTTATTTTCTCATATTGGTAAGCATCTATACATATAGTACAGGTTAAAGACTTTATGGAACCATAGTTTTATATGTACAGGTGCAGGGTTTGAAAGTTTAACGCTTCTTAAAAATATACGGAACCATAAATTACAACAAATATAACAAACAAGTTTGAGAGCGATTAACCATATAAGGGACTTGGTCTACATGACCCAAGCCTGAAAAAGGTGCAAAACACAAGAAATACAGCCAGAAACAAGCTACGAAGAACCAGGGAGCAATTTAATTAACAGCGCATAAGCCACTTGATTAGGCATCTTTAGAGCACTGTGGTGCTACATTATGGATCTTCTTCACTTCAATCATGACAATGGTTAGCCCAGAAAGATTATGGGCTACTATATTAGGCATCTTTAGAGCACTGTGGTGCTACATTATGATCTTCTTCACTTCAATCATGATAATGGTTAGCCCAGAAAGATTATGGGCTACTATATTAGGCATCTTTAGAGCACTGTGGTGCTACATTATGATCTTCTTCACTTCAATCATGATAATGGTTAGCCCAGAAAGATTATGGGCTACTATATTAGGCATCTTTAGAGCACTGTGGTGCTACATTATGATCTTCTTCACTTCAATCATGATAATGGTTAGCCCAGAAAGATTATGGGCTACTATATTAGCTTCTCTGCTATTGATCAGAAAAGAAATCTTTTAATTTATCTTGATGCAGGAGTACACATCAGAAAATGACTGCATATTCATAACAGCAGTGGCAGATCTTGAAAAAAATTCTGTAGAGGGTTGATCAAAATTAAACGTGTTACATATAAATACAATCATACAACTGAAGTAACACAAACAAATGAGATCAATATCGCCAAATTTATACTTCACTAATAGTCTAATACATCCTAAGGTTTAGAATAAACGGCTATTTCACCAAATGCCGCTGAGAACTTTAAAAATTCACCAAATGTCATCGGATTTTTCAGAATTCACCAAATGTCACTCAGTTTTTAAATAATTCACCGAGTGTCATTAATGACAGTCATTAGGGTCTAATCATGACACATGTCATGATATGATTAGTCTATTTATTTTAAGTCATAAAAATTAAAAGAAAATCAAAAAATTAAATAAAAAAACAAAAAAAAAAAAAAAACCCAAAATTTTCCCAGCCACCTTCCCACCACCACCACCAAACCCTAGCCCCTCCCCTTTTCTCGCCGGAAAACAGCCGGCCACCCCCTTAACCACCAAAAAACGGTCGATCAACCCTTAAGCACTCCACCTGACCCACCGCCGACCCCCAAAACCACCCACACAACCTGCCCCAACCAACGTTACAAGGTTCGCGGTACGGAGCCACGAATCGCGATCTGATTCGTGCGAACCGGAACGCGGAACAAACGCGACCTGGGTCGCTGGTGGTCGCAAACCAGAACGCTGAAGGTGGCGACTCCTAGTTGTGGCTGAGCAAACATGGTTGTTCTTCCTCTGCAACCTTTAATGGCTTGTTTCTCGACATTTTCAATGCAGTTTTCTCTCTCTTTCTTCTTTCACGTGTATCTACTTATTTAATTTCTGAAGTTTTTGACTTTTTTTCTCCCTCCTCTCTCCTGATTTACCTAGCAGTAACATTTTTTTTTATATATGTGCACACACTAAGGGTGGCGGCTAGGGTTTTGTTTTAATTGGTAAAAAGCTTAAAAGGCCTTAAACCTATATCTGTCTATCAACAACTTGGGCTTTTTTGAAAAAAACAACTTGGGCTTTTTATTTTATTTACTTTTTTTTAGCAATCCACTCACCTAGATATAAAAATCTATCAATAAAAACCACCTATATAATTTATTTATTAATTTACTTATTTCGTACCCAATTGTACCGGATTCACCACGGGTAGCGTTCCGCGTATTCGTTTCCGTACCACGTTTCGAATCGAATCCCGTCCCATGTAACGTTGGCCCCGACCCCAAATACCACCAACATGAGCTTTGATTTAAACACCCAGCGCTTTCCAACCACTGCGCAAAACCACTCCTCCTATCCTTCACCCTTGAAAGATGAAATCGGCCATAGAAATCGACCATTGTAGATTTCCATGGTTGATTTCGGTCGTTTGAGGGTGAAGGGTTTCCACAATCGGGTTTTATTCTAGATTTCTGGGTTTCCATGGTCGGTTGTGGTGGCTATGTGATGCGTCGTGTTGGTGCGTGAGGTGGTTGCGGGGGTTGGGGTGGGCATCAGCGCAAGGTCATCGGGTAAACGGAGTTTTGTGGGTCGGTGTATGGGTGCTAGAGTCGAGTAGGCAGAGTTTTGGGCATTACGTGAGATGGTTGCGGTGGTTTTTCGGGGGATTAAGAGGAGTCAACGGTTTTGATGGGGTCAAGGGGTTCCAGCGGGACGTCAGGGGTTCCGACGGAAGGTTAGAGGGTTCCGGCAGGAGGTCAAGGAGTTCCGGCGGTTGGCTTTGGGCCGTCGGTTGGCTTAGGCAGGTGGTTACGGTGGTGGGGTTGGGTTGGGTTAGGATTTAGAGTTTTTTTTTAATTTTATTTTATTTATATTTTTTAAACCAATAATCGATTGACATGTGTCATGATTAAGCCTCTGTTAATCATTAATGGCACTCGGTGAATTATTTAAAAACTGAGTGGCATTAGGTGAATTCTGAAAAGTCCGATGGCATTTGGTGAATTTTTAAAGTTCTCAGTGGCATTTGGTGAAATAGCCGTAGAATAAAATTAGATAAACAAGTAATAATAATAGCTAGAGAATCTAGATGCTAGGAGATAAAGTAAGTGGAAAGGTCAAAATACTTAAATGTGGGTTATAAGCTTTAGCTTTGCAATTGTAGAGTATATTAGAAACCATATACGTAGTACATATAGTTGGGCCTACTCTTACACATTTTTTTTACTAGGCTATGTCAATAAATTACAATAGCCACCCTAATAGTTTTTGGGCTTGGACCAGGGGCCAGGCCCTTAATGCCCTCCCCCCCACCCCCCCTCCCCCCCCCCCCCCCCGGGATGATCCACCATTGCATAACAGAGATGAGCTTCTGCATTTTACAGCATCATTTTAATTGCGAATGCATCCAGTTACACCTCCTGCTCTTGGAAATAGAAGTACTTACCATGCACTATTCTAGATTTCTAGCCCAAGTCTACCTAATTCATGGACAATGAAGTAATAGTAAATGCAGGGTTTGATATATGTGACAATAGCTATATACACTATATTAGATGATGCTAAGACGTCCTCGGAGAACAAATATTTTCCTAAAAAAATTATATCACACATAAGCATATGGCAATTTCTTCTTCAAAGATGATATGTAAATATTATTAAGAGCAAATCAGGAATAACGTATGGACCAGATGTGCATAAGAACACCGGAAAAGGCTGATGAATTTATCAAGGTTCAAGGCTCTCAGAGTCTCAGATTGCATCACATATTTTAAAGGACTTCCATAATATACCACAGAGTCGTCACAAACACAAAGGATGTAAAAGCAAGCTTGCAGACCAATCAGATATTTTATGTTATCTATATCAACTATAGAACATTCTATGTTCATGACCCATATGAGAAGAAAGCAAAGCAGAGGACATAAATTGATATATATCATAAAGAAAGTATGTTAAGAAGACATGGCAAACAATAGTTATAATACTATAAAGGAAAATTTAACAAGAATAATCCAACCTTTGTGTTGTTCTCCCAAAATAATCCAACCTTTCGATTAACCCTGAAAAATCCTAAGTTTGCTATTTATTTTCTCGCAGCAACCCTCGCAGGTCACCTTACTCATTATAGCAGGTTGCAATCCACGTGTCACTTCCTCATTGGTTAATTTTTTATTTATTTTTATTTCATATATTCAGATGAAAAAAAAATCCTCCCTTCTTTCTCATCTTCCTTCCCGGCCTTTCCTCCAACCCCTTCCACCACCTAGGCCAACAACACTGTGGCGCCACCCCCACCACCACCAACACCACAAACCTCAAAACCCCCACAACTTGACAACCAACTTATGACTCCACTCCCCAACCACGACCAATCCCCATCCACGACCCTACAATCAAATCCCCCTTCCCCCTTTGACCTCTCATTTCCTTTCTTTATGGCTGCTTTCATTGGGGCTTTAATCCCACGCTTGCAAAAATGTATTCATGCTTTTTTTTTTCTTTGACACTTGTAGCTGATATAGAAAGTTTTGGAAAGTGTTTTCATTAAATTATTTTAAAACACATAATATACTTATACTAGACGCTAGTGCAATAATGGGGCACAAGTTGATGCATACTATACAAAACAGTAGAATATCAATTTTGGCAAATGCCAAAACGGAATTGTTAGGAATTCTCTTAAAGATGGATAAACTATAACATATTGTAGACAAAAGAGTGATATATGGCAATACATAAAAAGCTAAGGCATCACTATACCTGCATTTGGCAAGCTAGTTGACAAGATAGTCCTCACTTTTCCATCCCATCCAAGCACACTGATTGCTGTAGCAATAGAAAAAAGGAGAGCAGGACCAATCCGCAGAAGAGATCTAAAGTATTAAAAAAGTCAAGTTCAACAAGTTCTATATATATTCTTAATTATGAGATCCAAAAACTAAAAAATGGTGCCCAATTGACAAAGGATATTGAAGGAAGTCCTATCAAATTTTGCTAAGCTACTAGCCAAAATCTCCAAATCTGCTGAAGCAATAATAACTCTATGAGTAGTCATTATCCCAGCAACTTGACCTCTAAGAGTCTCCTGCCAATGAACCTACAAAGGTAGTCAACCAACAGACATCAACATTAACCAAATGCCTCTTAAGAGGTAAGTTATCTGTGCATAAATGTGATTGTAACAAAAAATATTTCTCATCACTGTATCAAATATCACCTGGAGTACTATCTCATTCGCTTTCAGCTTGATTGACTTCCGCCCTTCAGCTATTGTTGGTATATAATGGCCACGGCCATCACTGCTTGATAGACGATATCCTTGCACAATCTTTGCCAAAGCAATTTGATTTCCATGAGAAGCAAACATCAAGGTGGATTCTGCAATTAAAAAAATGGATCAGCAATATATTCAAAAATAAAAGTGAAAATCAAAGATATAAATTTTCTTTTGTAATTACCTAACGGAGTACAGAAGATACGGTCAACTTCAGATTAGAACATAAAATGCACTGGACCCTTGACAGAACTTGTTGGAGCAGGATCAGCAGCCAGATCTGCTGTAGGATTTTCTTCAAGTGCTGCTTTGTTCTTGTCATCAAGTTCTTTAGATGACATTCCAGGAAGTATATACAAAGCAAGTCCAATCTTATCACTGTCAAGAATAGCAAACTGGTTATCATCAAGACCAATGAACGCTGCATCTTGACCTACATCAATACAAAATCCAGTGTGAATATTTTTCCACATGAAGACCTGAAATAGGTTTCTTATTTACCAACCTTTGACTGTACTATCTTTACTATTCGGCAATCGAGTATCAGTATTTTCTTTGTAGAGAACAACTTCATTTGCTGCACCACTTAACTCAAAAATAACAAGAAATAAATTCTGCTTCCTACTATATACAACACTCTTTGGTTGATATTCAACATTTCCAGGAATCTGAAAGCAACAACAAAAAAAGGTAAGAGTTAAAAGACATGATCATGGAAGCAGATACACAAAAACATCTCAACACTTACAAAAAAAAAAATACTATACAGAAGTTAGCCTTAGTACCGAGCTGTAAAGCTTTTTGTCAAAACTATTTGCTCCAGAACATAGATTATAGGCCATGAGATTTACACCTTCCATGTAGAAAGCTCTGACAGGATAATGCAGAACCCAATTTGCTTTATTGAAAAAATTAAGCTCCAAATGAAATGGCTGAAATGAAATACCAATTTCAAGGAAGATAAGTTTAATGAAATAAAAAAGATATCAAATTAAAGGTAACTGGGATCAGTGAAAGATGTACAGTCAACAGGAAGATGTCTGAGATGGTTACTAGTATCTAGTAAGGTGATGAGAGGCAAACGAGCAACTGGAGCACTTTTGGCATGCCCCTCCAAGAAATGTTGTGAAACAAAATAGAATATAGAACAATACATGAAGGAATAAGTATCAAGAGCAAATTACTTTGAAAGGAATAGTAGTTTCCCAACTGGAATTTTATATCACAGAAACAAGTGTGTTGAACAAAGAACTGGAAACCCTTTGACTCAATGTTATTAATGAGATTGATAGAAATCTGTAAACACTGATATAAATACTATCTATTGATGTAAGCAATTTCTTAAACATAACCAATTCCATGAATTATATTATCTACAGCAACAACAAACATAATTCCAAGCAGTTACTGATCATAGAATGTCACCAACTTATAATATACTGTAATAGCATCTAACTGTGGCACATCCGCACATCCATAGTTCCATACAAAAGATATGAAAATATGTTTCCAGGGCCAAAGTGAGAACAAAGTTTCCACAGTTACCAATCAGATATGCC